GAACGAGAGCTGAAGAACGATGAACGATGAACGAGAGCTGATGGACGATTTCTCGATTGAGAGAGAGCTACTCTTCGTGACTGTTGGGTTGCTTGAGCCGTGTGAATGCATGGGGAAATGGAGAACTCAACAGAGAAGCATTAATTACCTCTCTTTAGTGGGCTGTTTATTTTACCTGATTACCCTTATGCAGCTTTAATCTCAGTCATTGGATGAATCTAGATCCAATGGAGAGGAGAGGTTTTTAGTTTTTAGGATAGTGAGGTTTGTATTTGAACCTCTCCCTATATATATATATATATATATATATATATATATATACACCCTTTAAAAGAGGAAGTTCATGAAAAACTTTACCCTCCCCAAAATAGCATTCCACCAAATTTAATTACCAAACATATCCTGAATTCATAAACCAATTTATACATTCATCGGTTACGCCTCTATTCATCCCCCTTTCAATTCGTCGGTTACGTCCTAATCCTTTTAATTCTTCGGTTACCTCGTCTCCTACGATCTTCCGTTACCTCCACCAGCTTTGAAAGATGATTTCTCAGTTCTTCTCCGCCATTATCAACGCTTTCCCTCAGTCATCATCAACGCTTCACCTTATCGTCCGTTCTTCAAAGTTTTTGGGAATTGGTTAGAATATTTGCTTCATTTTTGTTTAATTTTAAAGAATCATTTCATTGAATTTGTTTATAATTCGCCATCATCTATTTTTTTTTCTAATTCGACAATAGGTCAATTGTTTTCCGAATTAGGGCTTGCTTCAAGTGTTCTAATTGATCCTGTGTCAATTTCATCAGGTCATCAGGTAAAAATTCTCTTTTTATTTTTAATTTTTCTTTGATTATTTTAGGAATTGCGATTGTTAGAGATTTGAAGGTCGGTTATTAAATTAATGCAAAGGGTTTAACTTATGGAATCAATTCTCCAAGGGCATTCCTTTTTCTCTGCAATATTTTGTTGTTTTAGGTTTCTCTGGTTTGAATGATTAATTAGAACCTCCTTGAGTTTTTTTAATTAGTAGCCTTTGAGTTTGCTTATAATTGATGAAAGTCGTGGCTTTGTGATGTTAGAGATGCGTATGTTGTGAATTCTCTTAGTTTGACATATTATTTGTTCCTTTTTTTGTAGAGGAAATTGGGTGCTAATGTTGTTCTTCCTTACTGACACTCGAGAGTATCTCCAAGTTTAGAAAGCTTGTATTTTGGAGTTTGAAATTGCTATTTTTAAGAATTTCTTAGTGGAATTCAGTCGAGGATTGGTTTCCTTGCTGCTCTCTTCTAGGTTGTGCTTGTGTGATTTATGGTCATTAGCATTTGGCACCGACATCTTTAGCATATGATATGTATTGATGAACTATAATGTGTATGTTTGCTTTTTTGAATTAGAAGTGCAAACATACAAGCTTTTTCCTAGATCACCTTTTTCTTTTCAGCTCCTTCTGCTTCAAAAACATTATCATTATTTTGCATATATCTGTAATTTAATCCTAATTACTTAATTAGGTACCTGAAGTCAGAGATTGTTCAGTCTTTTTCCTAAGGAAATTTTATCAATTCCATAAAAGTAGTAGACATGTGAATGAAGAAAATGGAATTAATGGTAAGGGTAAAGAAATAGTTGCTCTGTTAATGATCAGGATGTTTGCTTCTACTTTATGATTAGACCAATCTAAAATTTCATCTTTCACGCTCATCAACACTCATGGAGCTTTGTCATAAGGCCAGCTATGAAATAGGATCACCAACGTTAAACCTGGGAAGTGCATGGATTTCAGGATACTAAAAACCGATACCATTTCAAACTCAAAAAGAAAATTTCTTGTTTCGGCTTATAGTCAAGGAAACAGACTGTAAATGCATATTAAAACTTTCTGATGCATGCATCTAATAATATTTGAAGCCTTTCAAAGCATTCTCTATAGAACAATATATCATATCTTCTGGGATGGGTAAAGTTCAAGGAGACAGACTGTAAATGCATATCAAAACAGAACTTTAAACATATGCTTGATGCATACATCTAATCAGATTCAAAGCTTTTCAAAACATTCTCTATAGACTAAACCTGCTCTGCCACTTAGGATGATGCAGTTACGTACTCATACAAATCAGTATACGTAAACAATAAACAATACCAACATTGAACTAAGAAGGATTGCAGTTACGTACTCATACAAATCAGTATACGTAAACAATAAACAATACCAACATTGAACTAAGAAGGATTTGGAAATGAGTAGTGATATAATTGTGATACGTAAACAATAAACAATACCAACATTGAACTAAGAAGGATTTGGAAATGAGTAGTGATATAATTGTGATCCGTGTTGTATGGGTAGTTTTACATGAAGCCCTCCTGTACCGGACAACGAAACTTTCTGCACTGTCCTTGAATATAGATGCATACATTTATCCAGACGCATGCTGAATTATATAATACAAGTTTTAATCTAAAAAACTCGTCATGCCCTTCTTAAGATGCCACATCCACCTTTTGAAACTTGTTGCACATGGATCTGGTTTGTTTCAGTCCATACACATTTTAAAACTATGATTCTAAAGGGTAATTTGCATTTCAGCTCCTTCATCCTGTGTCATTGATGCTTAACCGTTTCAAATTTTACATACATCTTTCTTTCCAAAGAATTTCCTCTTAGTTGAGTTTAGGTTCTCTTATAGCCTAAGCTCTTGACAAGACCTAAATTTTATTAAGATACATTAATTTATGAAATACTCACTGATTCCATGAAGTAGTGGTGGGAGCTAAAATTAATAAAATATTTCATAGAATCAAGTGCAATATGAGAACTTATAAAATATTTCATAGAATCAAGTGCAATATGAGAACTTGGATTTAGCACAATTGATCAGGAAATATAGGCTGCTTCTCCAATTATAGTATGATTTATTAGCACAATTGATCAGGAAATATAGGCTGCTTCTCCAATTATAGTATGATTTATTTTCCAAGGATAGTAATCACTTTCTTGGCCTCTTATTAACTTGGATTCATAATTCCTAGCTGTTTTTTCTACAAATTCTGTCATTTTTTTGTATTTTCAAATGGAAATGGGTTAGTTTTTGTTTTAGTGTATAATCTGCTAGGATTTTCTCCAGAATGTTGACTGTGGTTTGGTGAAACTTGTTTCTTAACTGTTTCAAATACATCACAGTATATATGATCTTGATTTTTAACTGATAAAAGTGGTGCCCATGTCTCGATACCATTCACTATGATATTTTGTATATACTGCACAATAAACCATAGTGAAACTAAAGTAGAATTAGAAAAAGAATGTGCGCGTTCCAGTTTATATATAATAAAAAATAAAGTAAATCAAATAAATCAAATCACACCAAACTTTTTATAGAAAGTCTCCATGTGCTATTTGCACAGCTCGAGGGCTACACTCTATAATTCACTACATGCAATTCTTCGCTCAAAACTGCAAATATAGACAAGTACGAGCTGGAAATATTTACATAAGATGCCTAATATGAGTCTACAAACAAACTAACATCAAATCAAGTAACCACATCTCAACATGGTATCTTAAGCATTAATAATAAAGTACATGGGATCAAAGAAACTGATCAAGCTTTTTAGAGAATAAATTTTGGTATGTCTTGATCAATTTTTAATTTTTGATTTAGATTTTTATTTTGGAAATTCTTAGATTGTTCGATATTGGGTCTTTAATTTTTTTATTAAAATGAGAGTTTAGAGGTATACATGGACGCTGCTATGCTATTAGGATTAAGGCTGAGAAACCATGGATTATAATTTGTAGCTTCACAAAAAGAGAATTTTCAATATCATTATTTAAGGAGGTTTCATTAACTTCTTGCTTATTCAAACACTTGCGCGAAATACATGCTGAATTTTTTTTAGGACATTCAAATGTGTGCTACACAAAAGGTTATCTTACGTAAATGACAAAATACGGCCAGTATATAATGAATCTAAAAAATAAATTAAAAGAATAACTCTAATTTATTTAAAATAATTTATTTAAAATTATTTTTTGTATCTCTCTAACTTTTCATCATTTTTTAACCTCAAGAATGAATTATGTACATGCACACATAGCGTGCACAAGAAATATATTCCTCACTAATAGTATTTTGGTGAATTTCTAATAAGCCTCCTGTGTTTAGTATCATCTTTTTTAAAACATTGTGTGAAATGATGTGCACTTTTGTAATACACTTTTACGTCTAGATTAAATAATTTAACATTTTTTCATATTAATGCAGATATTCTACTTGGTTGGATTTGCCTTGTTTTTTTTAAACATTTCTAAAGTTGTCGGTGATTCAGGTGAGTTAAGCAACTTTCTTCTCTTTTCTCTTTATTTTATTCATAGTGATGGTAACTCTATTTCCTTGTATTTATCTTCTTCTTCACTTAAATATTTATTATTATTATTATTATTATTATTATATGACTTCAAAAAATAGAATTAACCTTAGCATATGAGATATTTGTGATTAATGATGCATGTATAGTGTATGTTTATTAATAGTATATTTCATTATTTTTTAACAGAAGAACACATTCTAATACATGAGAGTAGAAACATCAAATATAATCTGTTGAATGTTGATCAGAAGAGAACTTACATTCAGAAGGTCATTGATAATAATAGAAAGAGGAAAAGGAATGATTTTGCTGGCAGTAGTACCAATAGCAAGCAAAAACGTAAGATTGATTTGTTTTGTGGAGCGCAACATCGAGAATATGAGCATGGAGGTTTGCATAGATTAATTTTATAATTTATTAAAATAATTACATGGTTTTATATATCTAAATTTATTTAACACTAAAAACTATTATTTTTTTCTAGGTCAAATTAACCATGAACCAGTATGTTCTTTATTACATAAACTACGCACTCTAAAGTCTTGTTCATTTTGTGGAGCAAAAAAGTTTGAATATGAGCCACCAACATCCTGTTGCCACAATGGTGAAATCCACCTAGCAGATGTGAATGTTAATGACGAGTTATGAGCCACCAACATCCTGTTGCCACAATGGTGAAATCCACCTAGCAGATGTGAATGTTAATGACGAGTTATATGCCCTTTATACAGTACAAACCCAAGAGGCAATTGAGTTTCGAAGACAAACCAGAAAGTATAATAGCATTTTTCTCATTCACATCATTTGGGGCAAGGTTTGATAGAGAGGTTGCATCAAACAAAAAGGGTATTTTCACATTTAGAGCACAAGGACAAATATATCATAATCTTCCCTCTCTAATTCCAGAAGAAAATAAGTCTTCCTACTTTCAACTTTACTTCTACGATACGGAGAATGAGTTGCAAAATCGAATGAGAATATTAGATAATGCAATACTTTCAACTTTACTTCTACGATACGGAGAATGAGTTGCAAAATCGAATGAGAATATTAGATAATGCAAACATGAGTACGACTACAACTAAAAGATTGATGGATATATTAGAAGGAAACCCATATGCAAAATTTCTGTGGAAACTGAATGATTTTTCATCTCTTGAAGACTTCAAGATCATTATAAATAGAGATGCTGCAATAGATCAACGTGTTTACAACTCGCCAACAGTGGATCAGGTTGCAGCTGTCTGGGTAGAGGGAAATAATAAAAATGTTCCGTATGAGAGAGAAATAGTTTTCCATTCACACTCCGGAAAGAATCATCAAGTTAAGCACTATTTTGGTTGTTATGATCCTTTACAGCATCATTTACTCTTTCCAGGCGGAGATGTTGGATATCACCAAAATATTAAAAGAATGGAGAAAAATGATATTCGCCGTTCAAAACAACTAAATACAACATCTCAAGTGACTCGGCAAACTTTTACATCTGTAGAAGACATATTTAAACGAGAAAGGGAAGGTAAATCATAATTAAAATTGTTTAATAATATTAAAACATTAAAAATTAACTTAACCTGCAAACTTGTAGGTGTTAAAGCACCAAAGGCGGGAAGCGTCTCATGTCGAGAATATTATTGTTACAAGGTTAAGATAAGAGACACTCGACAATCTACTGTATTAACATCGGCAGGCCGGTTGTTCCATCAATATGCTGTTGATATGTACATAAAGCTTGAAACAACAAGACTTGATTATTTTAGAAAGAAACAATCAGAAATCAGAGCAGAGTTATTCCAAGGCATAGTCGATAGTGTAGCTGCTGGGGAAGCAAAAGCATGTCAAGTCGGAAAAAGAATAGTGCTGCCATCATCATTTATTGGTGGTCCTAGAGATATGTGTCGTAGATATCTTGATGCAATGTCATTAGTACAACGATTTGGAAAACCAAATATTTTCATCACAATGACATGCAATCCTGAATGGGAAGAAATCACGGAGGAGCTACATCCAGGACAGACACATAGTGATAGAACGGATCTAACCTCAAGGATATTTAGAGCAAAATTACAAGACCTGAAAGATCAGCTATTTAAAAAGGAAATCTTTGGAAAAGTTGTTGCCCATGTTCATGTCATCGAGTTTCAAAAAAGAGGGTTGCCTCATGCACACATGTTAATTATTCTAATGGAAAAGCACAAAATCGTATCATCAGATCATTATGATAAGTACGTATCAACAGAAATTCCAGACCAGTATGAAAATCCAATCCTATATGAACTGGTAAAAAAACATATGATGCATGGCCCTTGTGGAGAGTTAAATATGAAGAATGTTTGCATGCAAAATGGCGAGTGCAAGTATCACTACCCTAGAGAGTTTTCTCCAAGATCAGTACAAGCGAAAGATGCTTACCCAATTTATAAAAGGAGCAAAAATAATAGAACAATGTTGGTTCGAAAGAAAATCCTTAATAATTTTGCTGACACGTTATAACTATCACATCAATGTTGAAATATGCTCAGGCATAAAAGCAGTGAAATACCTTTATAAGTACATATATAAAGGCCATGATAGAGTGGCAGTAAACATTGAGTATAATGAAGGTGAAAAAGTTGTGAATGAAATCAAAAATTTTCACGATGCAAGATGTGTATCAGCTCAGGAAGCTTTCTGGAGAATATATGAATTCCATCTTAATGAGATATTCCCGGCTGTCATTTATCAGCTCAGGAAGCTTTCTGGAGAATATATGAATTCCATCTTAATGAGATATTCCCGGCTGTCATTATCTTACAACTTCACATGCCAAATCAGCAATATGTTTCTTATTGGAAACATCAAGACCTATCGAAATTGATTCACTTGGAACATGTCTCCAAGACGATGCTTACAAAATTTTTTACTATGTGTAAAAAATTAAAGAAGGTAACAAGAAGAAACATGAAAAGGACCACGAAAAGCAGTTATTATATGTGTAATTTCTTGAATGTTATGTTTGGGATTCAACATCAAAATCTTGGAGTCCAAGAAAACAGAGACAAGTGATAGGTCGAATAAACGGGGCTAATCCAATTGAAGGAGAAAGATATTACTTGCGACTATTGCTTACTCACGTTAGGTGTCCGACATCATTTGAGTATCTACTGATGGTAAATGGTATTCATTGCACATCTTTCAAGCAATTAGCCCAGAAATTAGGTCTTTTGGAATCTGATGATAGCATAAGAGAGTGCTTAGATGAAGCCATTGTCTTCCAAATGCCAACAGCACTTCGACGTTTGTTTGCATAGCATAAGAGAGTGCTTAGATGAAGCCATTGTCTTCCAAATGCCAACAGCACTTCGACGTTTGTTTGCAACTATATTGGTTCATTGTGAGCCTAGCCATTGTCTTCCAAATGCCAACAGCACTTCGACGTTTGTTTGCAACTATATTGGTTCATTGTGAGCCCACAGATGTTAATCATTTGTAGGATTAATATCTTGAATCATTATTTGAAGACTTCTCAAGGAAACCAAATGCTACTAGAGCTTCGGTGATAAATGATACTCTTCTCAATATTAACTTCTACTTAGAGAGTATGGGAAAGGATATTAAAATTTTTGATTTGCCACCTTTACAAACAAAAACCATTACAGAGGAAGGTTCCTACCCAAGAGAAATAAAAGAAGAGCTAGATGTACAAATCCCAACAAATGATCTAAATGCTGCAACAAAACTCAACTATGAACAACATACTGCATACACTACAATATTAACACGAGTTGAAGCAAATAAAAGTGGAGTTTTCTTTATTAACAGTCCTGGAGGAACTGGAAAGACTTATTTATATCGTGCTCTACTTGCCACAGTAAGATCGCAAGGTATGATAGCTCTTGCTACAGCGACATCAGGTGTCGCAACTGTAATAATTCCTGGTGAAAGAACAGCACACTCCAGATTTAAAATCAAAATCCCAACAACAGATTCATCTATGTGTGGTATATCAAACCAAGATGGGACATCAAAACTCATTAGAATTGCTCGTCTAATAATTTGGGACGAGGCTCCTATGGCTAAACGCGTTGCAATTGAAACGTTGGATAGAACACTAAGAGATTTAATGGATCAAGATGAACCATTTGACGGAAAAGTAATTGTATTTGGTGACGATTTCAGACAAGTTTTACCAGTGGTGTCTCGCTCAACAAGATCACAAACTATCAGAGAAAGTTTAGTAAGCTCACATTTGTGGAGCAAAATGATCAAACTACAACTTTCAAAAAATATGAGAGCAAAATCAGACGCAACATTCAGTGAATTTCTTCTTAGGATTGGGAATGGAGATGAACCAATAGTGACCCAGGATCTTATAAAACTACCTAATGCAATGTTGATCCAGAATCAAGGTGATGACCTACCGAAAGATTCTCTCATAAATTCAATTTTTCCATCTTTAGATGAGAATTTTAAGTCTATTGACTATATGAAAGTAAAGCTATCCTTACAACAAAAAATGAATATGTTGACATGTTAAATGATAGACTAATAAAAAGGTTTCCAGGAAAAAAATGAATATGTTGACATGTTAAATGATAGACTAATAAAAAGGTTTCCAGGAGAAGGAAAAGAATTCTATAGCTTTGATGTGATAGACTAATAAAAAGGTTTCCAGGAGAAGGAAAAGAATTCTATAGCTTTGATGAAGCAGTTGATGATACTAATCATCATTACCAAAAAGAATTTTTGAGCACTCTACTCCCTAATGGACTACCGCCACACAAGCTTATGTTAAAAAATATTGTCCAATTATTTTACTAAGGAACTTGGATCCAACTAATAGACTGTGCAACGATACAAGAATGCTATGTCAAGATTTTAACTACAATGTAATTCAAGCTAAAATCACAATGGGCCAACATGCTGGGAAAGAA